CACTGCGCATTGGTGGCTTATGTCCAGCTTTTCATCTACTGGTACCCCCAAGTCTTTTTCCATAGGGCTGGAAATCTGCTTGAAGATTTGCAGGGCTGTTTATCCACGCTGGAAGAGGCCTGTGAGCAGATGCCTCCTGCTCATCCTTCTGTGCCAGGCACATAAGCAGCCTGCCTGTTGCAATGCTCTCGTTGTTTACACACAACAAAATCTACCCATCCTAGTTCTGAACCTTCCTCAAGAGAGGATTTTTAGGGTATAGGTGTAACCTGCCTTTTTTAATGCACTCTTTCAGAGGGTTGTGCCGAGTCTAGTTGGAGGCTTGTAGCTTGTGTTGTTCTCCATGTATCAGTACTGAGTCCAGTCTTCATCAACATCTTCATCGATGACCTGGATGAAGGCACAGAGGGGACCCTCAGCCAGTTTGCTGATGATACAGAACTGGGAAGAGTGGCTGACACGCCAGAGCTGTGCTGCCCTTCAGCGAGGCCTGGACAGGCTGGAGAGTTGGGCAGAGAGGAACCTCGTGAAGTTCAACAAGGGCAAGTGTAGAGTCTTGCCCCTGGGGAAGAATAACCCTGTACCAGGAGAGGTGAGGGGTTCACTGGCTGGGAAGCAGCTCCATGGAGAAGGAGCTCTTCTTAAAAGCATTGATAGGAAGCAGAAGTAGAACCTTCCTGCTAAGAAGCTGTTGTTACCAACACCAAGGAGGATGATACAAGGCAGATGGAGAAGCAGCGCAGGGTTTGTGGTCTGCACACAGACCACGGAGCCACCAGAAACAGAGCAGCAGAGGGTTGTGATGCCCAGGGGTGGAGGCCAGGCTGCAGGCTGGAGCTGGGGACACTGCTGGCTCCTTGGCCAACACGTGAATGGGTGTCCTTTGGAGCTGGACAAAGGGAACAGCAGCTCCCGCAGTCTGACCCTGCTGGTCCCTGCCCGCTTCTGGCCATCGGCTTGATCTTGTTTGGCCAACTGGTGCTGGTTCAGCTGCCGGATTGTCTCTGTGGGTGTTTCACAGAGACAGGAGGTGCTTTCCCTGGTGTTAGTCTTCAACAGCTGCAGCACGGGCACTGCGGACAGGGGAGGCTGATTTGCCAAGTCCCCCGAGATCCACCGTGTGGAGGGGAAGGGGAGGGGCGGCACAGAAGGACCGGTGCAGAGCTCTGCCCCCGGGCACCAGTGGTCATCTGCGTGGCTGGAGGAAGGAACCGAGGGGCTTGGCAGCGGCAGAGCCGACAGAAATCTCCGTGAGTCACAGCTGGGCGTGAGTCAGCCCTGTCACACGGCTGTGAGAAGGGCACACGTCACGGGAGGCCCTGCGAGGAGCTGCGTGCTTCACCAGGCATCTCAAGTATTCCTCCTGCTCCCGGCGCTGGGAAAGCCGCGGCTGGAGCCTTCTCTGTCCCACTTTGGATGCTGGGCTTCGAGGAAGATGCGGGCCAATAGCAGAGAGTCCAGGGAGAGCACCAAGAGTGGTCAGAGGGTTGGAAATCGTGAGGAATGAGCAAAGCTTGAGAGGACCTGGGATTGTTTAGTCTAGGAAGGAGCTAGCTGAGCAGGGAGGGGGATATGAAAAGCTTTCAAAGACATAAAAGGATGCTGTGAAAAAGTGAGGGAATGATCTGCTCTTGTTATCTTATTCCTAGTAGCTACTAAGTCATGGGCTGAGCAAGGAAATTTAGTCATCAGGGAAAACTTACAGAAGTGAAAGGCTGATGAAGTCCTGAAACCTCGGCTGTGTGTGGGATAGGTGGCAGGAGGCCTTCAGAGCACCCATCTCTGGCTGGTGGGCTCCCCACAAGACCTTTGTAGACCTGTCTTCCTATTGCTTGAAGATTATTTTCTAAAGCTGTCTTGAAGCATTTGCCAGATGCCATCAACCTTCCTGTTACAAGATGAGAAGGACTACATGTGACAGTGCCACTTTATCCTTGGTGTAACCATTCTCCAAGGTCCTGGCTGGGCTGCAGGCTCACACTGAGATGGGAGGGAGCCCTGTTGTTAAGGACAGGAACACAGAGCGTGGTCTCCTGTGGTGGGACAGCCCTTGGTTTGCTCTTTGTCCCTGTGTGTGACCATGCTGGGTGACGCACAGGCACGATCCTTGCCCTGAAGACACGAGGTGGGTGCAGGGGAATCCCCCCAGCCAAGGCAGAGCTCACCAGCAGGCTTATTTGCTGGTTCAGGGGCTGATCTGGGCCGTGCTTTTTAATTGTGGAAAGTCAGAACGTGGCTTTGTGTCCTAAATAGGCGATTGTCCCGATTCTCATCCCTGGGATCCATTATGGCTTAGCAAATTACTTTCCCCCTTTTAAATGCCTTAGTGATTAAAGATGCCACAGCAGATACCCTTAATGAGTACAAAAAGGGTAATAATTCCTCTTGTTGGCACTGAATGCAATTAATCAGGCCCCTTGACTTGCTTTTTAAACAGATGAGGCATTTAAGGCCAAGCAAGTTTTTAATTGGACTTTAATGTCTCTCATTTACTTCATTTTGGCACAAGCAGAGGAATTCCCACTCCCAGGTTTGCCGTTGGATTTATTCAGGGTGATGAAAGGCGGAGTGAAGTCTCAGCAGCAGACTCAAACGTCTCCTTCAGCCCATGCCTGGCCCCACCTCCTTGCCTGGCCCAGGCTTGGTCCTTGCTGCATGGAGTTGTCCAGGCAGGAGCAGAGCCAGGTCATCCAGCCCAGGGCCTGATGCTGGATATTAGCAGTATTTTTGGAGCAGTCACCAACACGTGGGTGCAGCGTAGCCTGTTTCGTCAGGTGCCTTTGCCTTGAAGAGCAGTTGATTCGCAGCTGTCCTTGTGGCCGACTCTCCAACCTGTGCAGGTCAAAGGTAAAACCTGAGGCCTCCCAGGGCAGTGTAAGAGCTGTGCATGAGCACCAGGCTCTGCCACCCAGGTGGATGCTCAGTAAGGAATGCCACGAGGATGCTTGCCCAGTATTTGGGTTGGTTTTGCCTTCTTACCTGTCCTATCTTCCCTCCTCCCACTCCCTCACAGCTTGACCTTGGGTTTAGTGGTCGTGTGAAGCTCGGGTGTAGTCCTGGGTAGGCAGGGGAACCAAATCTCTCCAGTTTTACCTTGTGCTGAAGGCATCTTTGCACATTTTGCCCCGCTGCATCACTTCTCTGCTACCTGCAGGTGAGGATACTGAGAGCCATCATGTCTCGGGAGGTGTCAGAGAACTGAGGGCTGTGTGAGGATCAAGGGTTTATTGTGTGATTGTGATGTGAAGGGCTGTAGGCACCTTGAATATGTTCTGCCATGAAGGTGAATAAAAGAGCTTCCTGCTTGCTCTGTGTCCTCACAGGGTGAAAAGTGGTGGCTGCTGCCACGTTCCCCTGCGTTGGGCAGGGACTGAAAGAAATAAGAGGGACAGGTCCCAGGACCTTTCTGCTCCTCTGGCTGGGCAGTAAGAGGAGGGGCAGGCAGCTATGGATGCCCTTAATCCAATGTTTGTACCCCAGATATATCTCTGGCAGGAAGCTTCAACCCCAAGTGACTGTGGCCAGCCGTTCCTACACTGAGAATCTGGCTGAGGCTTACAAAGATGTCATTTTCTTTGATTTAATTCCATATAAACTGCAGAATTATTTTCCTTTAGAGGCTTGCAGATTATGGAAGCATAAAGCACAGTAATGATCCGATAAGAACAGCTTTGGATGCGTTCCCAAAAACAGCTACCCCTGGGCAGGAGAGGACTGATGGAGAACAGCCTGCCATGCTCACCTGGCTGCTTTCCTTGCCTCCCCCCCCCAAATTCCTCCATCTCTCAGGAACGAGAATCATTTCCTCTCGGGCTTCTTGCAGAGGCAAAGGCCCTGCAGACCTGTAGTTATCTCTGGAATGTGTGTAAACAGTGAGTTCAATGGGATGCTGTTTGCCCCCCTTTCCTGGGGGGGGCTTGAAGAAGGGTTAATGTGAGTTTGGTTTATGGGTTCCTAGCCCTGAGAATTGTCTTCCTCTGAAGGCGACCTACTTGACCCGGGTCCCTTTGTGTGCCTTTCCCAGGACAAAGGGGAGATTCGGGGGCCCCGCCGCACGGGTGGGATTTCAGTCCTCTAAGAACAAGGAGAGGGAAGACCCAAGTGATCTTCCGGCTGAACGGGGACCTGGGAGGTGGCGTGGGGCGGCAGCGCGCCTGCGCCAGGGCTCGACGTGTCGCGTGATGCTGGGACTAAGAGGATTGAGGTGGTCCTTGGGCAGAACCAGATCTGGGATCAGGAGAAGGCAGGGGGGTTACGCGTGGGTCTGGCACTCCTGTCTCGACACGTAAACGTGGGGACAAAACCTTAGAAACCACCTGTGGGCTGGGCCAAAACGCATCTCAGTGAGCGGCATGAAGAGCTCCGTCTGTGTGTCAAAACAGTAACTGAGATGTAAGTTCGTTATGGTGTATGAGTCCCTTCCTAATGAGGCCCGCCTGGGCACGGCTGGATTTAGACTTAAGCAGCAGCAAGCAGAACCTAAAGCTCAACAAAATGAAGCCAAGGAGAGGCAGGTTGCTGACAGAGAAATGGTTAATTCCTGGATGCGTTGTCAGCGCCGGTGACGCACTGAGCCTGGACCCCTTCCAGAAAACACCACTTGAAACCAAAGACAAAGAGCTGGGCTTAGCACGGAGGTGATCAGTGGAATGGCTTGGCCTGGTGTCTACACAGGGTCAGACTAGATGATTTAACGATCTCTTTTGGCCAGAAAGCTTTCTGTTCTCATAAGAAGATAAATGAAAAAGCCCTTTCACAAAAAAATGAGCGCTCGAGATGTGTGTGTAATGAGCTCTGCTTGCTTCCAGGGAATGGCAGAGAGGGATCTGCAGGAAGCATGGCCTCGCTGCCCATGGGCTGCCCGAAGTTGGTGGCCATCTGCTTCATGGCACCATCAAGGCCACGGCTTTCCCACGTGGTGTTTCTCAGCTCTGTTTTTAGTTACTAGCTGATGCTGTCTCGCTGTGTTTAAGTAACATTTGCTCCCTTGTCTCCATCAGGTTGAAGAGACCAAGCGGTATGAGCAGCCTCCTGGGGAAGATTGGCTCCAAAAAGCAGAAGATGAGCACGCTGGAGAAATCTAAACTGGACTGGGAGAGCTTCAAGGAAGAGGAGGGGATTGTGGAGGAGCTGGCGATCCATAACCGAGGGAAAGACGGGTAAGAGGGACTCAGACTGGATATTAGAATTTCTTTCCTGACAGAGTGGTGAGGCACTGGAACAGACTGCCCAGGGAGGTGCTGAGTCCCCATCCCTGGAGGGGTTCAAAAAACAGGTAGATGTGGCACTTGGGAACATGTTCATGGTAGCATTGGGTGATGGTTGGACTTGACGATCTTGGAGGTCTTTTCCAACCTTGAGTCTATGACTTTTTAACAGCATTTCCCACCACTTCCTGTACATGTAGGAACACTTGCTGCAGAGCGTTCAGCAAACCCATGGGATTTCTTAAGGCTTTATCCCAGGGATACATAAAACCAGGAGGTGTGCTGGTATCTCACAGAGACAGGTAAGTCTGGGAACACTCTCCTAACAACCCTGTGAGTTCTTCAAGCGCAGCTGAAGTAGAGCCTGGCTGTGCTTTATCTTCACTCCCGCCAGTGGCACAGATGCAGTGTGAACCTGTTCAGTGCAGCACTCCCAGGAAGAACCTCAATTATTGCCTTCGCCCCCTTTTTTTTCTTCTTTAAACAAAAAGTCTCAAATTGAGAGGTATGGGGTTTTTTTGTTCTGTTCTTCAAACCTCCCATTCCAGCTGCATCTGACCCCCCGTAAAGGTGCACACAAAGCCAGGAGAGCTGGCAAGGTGTGTTAGAAATTATGGCAGCACTGGGCATTGATCATGTGCATCAAGCAAGATTCATTCCAATGAGGTTAATGGAAGGATCGTAAAAATAAATGGCGATGCTGTAAATAAAACAGAAAGTTAATAACATGCATTGCAGGGGGGGATAATATGATCAGAAGTGGTGTTTCCACTACAAGTGCTTTGCTAAGCTCTGGGAAAACATAACTGGCTTACTGGACAGCTCATAAAATGTCGTTTTATTGTAAGCTGTTCTTTTACTCCAAGAAAAAACTCGGGAGCTGCTGCATTCCAACAGATTGGACTCTGTATTTCAGATAGGTGTTTTGTAACTGCTGGGGTTTTCAGGTTGGCCTTGCACCATTCCACAGCAACCCTTCTCCATCAGATCTGCCCTGATCTGTTGCTGTACACTTGCCTTCCTTGAACTAGTAGAGTGATTGAGCAGGAGTGCTGGAGGGGGACAGCACTCCTCTGAGATGCTTGAAATCCAAGGAGGTGAGTGTTTTACATGGTGTGTAAGTGTGGCAGAGCACACGTGCACCGGCTCATCACTGCTGGTGAACGTCACAGAGCCCTGTACGTGAGGCTCTCCATCGAAATGGTCCATACCAGGAGGCTGGAGGCAGAGCCAGGCCACATACCACGCTCTGAGATGGAGGAGAGCAGGGTGAGCTTCTCCCATGAAGCCCCACCAGGAGCTTTGGGAGAACCCACCTCCAAGGAAGGGTCCTGTTTCTCTCTGTGACACCTGGCTGGCTTGTCCAGATGGGTTGTGGGGTGAGAATTTGCCCTATGCAGATGTCCTTAGTGTCGCAACTGCTTTGGGCTTTCTGTGCTCTGGGCTGGGCTGACGGTGGTAGGTAGCACCACCGTTGAAGGCCAGACCATCTCCTGCCGATTGCTGGGACACCCTGTTTCTTCCAACAGCCTGTGGAACCAGCCTGAATTGGGGCCCACCACTCTCAGCTGGACTGTACTCGCCGCAGACAGACCAGCCTGCCCTGCACAAACATTTTATGGCATCTCTTCCTTGTTCAAACCTAATACATCAACCTTTCTTGGCCAGTGCTGGTTCCTTTCCCATCCCATACAAGTGGGACAGCTCACCCTTCGTGCCTGACAAACGTTTCCAGAGATGCTCACGTCATGGTCCTTGAAGGGGTCACCACATTGATGAGCAGAGCAGAGCAGTAATTTTAGAACATCTGTAAGCTTGGACAGCTTTGGGTTTTGCTGCCCGTCACATCCCAGGCTAGAAAATCTGCTGGGCTACAAGCAAGTGGGTTTCATTGTTGAACAAATGAGAGATGTGAAGCTCCAAATCTTTGTGCTAGTCAGGAACATAGTGTGAGGGGATCAGCTGAGGATCTGCTTGCCGAGTTCCACCCACCATGAAGGTAGAGCCCAGCCCACCACCTTTCAGATCCTGCAGGCGCTGCCGCCATCAGGTCCTTCTGCAGGAGCCTTGTCCCTTCCACAGTCACCTCTTCTCCTTTAACAACATCAGCTCTGCTCACCTTTCAGCATCAATCATTTACCAGCCTCTGCAAGAAGCGCAGGGAGCAGTTGTTAACCCTTCAACCCAGGGAGGGGGGAGCGGGTCAGTTGTGAAACCCAGCAGTGGGTCTGTGGTTGTACAGCCCCAAATGCAGAATGCAACCAGAGGTTTGGTGGAGATGAAGTCATCTAAATTTGGTTCTGTCATTTTATAACAATCAGTAGTGTTGGGTTTCTGGTTTAGAAAAATCAGCATAAAATATTGTCCTTGTGGTCGATCTGGGGTGAGTAAATCCACTGAGTACCCAGAACCCAATTTGTCTTTTCTCTCCTGATGAGGCCAGTGGAATGAGGTTCAACCAGGCCAAGGGCTGGGTCTTGCACATGGGCCACAACAACCCCTTGAAACGCTCCAGGCGGGGGACAGAGTGGCTGGAAGCTGCCTGGTGAGAAAGGACCTGGGGCAGGTTGGTCAACAGTGGGCTGGAGATGAGGCAGCGTGTGCCCGAGTGGCCCTGAAGGCCACCAGCATCCTGGCTTCTGTCAGCATTGGTGTGGCCAGGAGGACTAGGGCAGGGATTGTCCCCCTGGACTGGGCACTGGGGAGGCTGCCCCTCAAATCCTGAGATCAGTTTTGGTCCCAGAAGGACCTTGAGGGGCTGGAGCATGGCCAGATAAGGGCAACAAAGCTGCTTGGGAAGGGTCTAGAGCCCAAGTGTGGTGAGGAGCAGCTGAGGGAGCTGGGGGTGCTGAGCCTGGAGCAGAAGAGGCTCAGGGGAGACCTTCTGGCTCTGCACAGCTCCCTGACAGGAGGCTGGAGCCAGGTGGGGGTCAGGCTCTTCTCTCAAGGAACAAGTGATAGAACAAGAGGAAAGAGCCTGAAGTTGCTCCAGGGAAGGTTTAGGTTGGACTTGAGGGAAAATGTCTCCTGCAAAAGGTTTGTCCAGGGCTGTGCCAGGCTGCCCAGGGCAGTGGTGGAGTCCCCATCCCTGGAGGGGTTTCCAAGCTATGGAGATGTGGTGCTGAGGAACATGGGTCAGTGGGGACCTGGCAGTGCTGGGGGAACGGTTGGACTTGATGACCGTAAAGGTCTTCCCAACCAAAGCAATTCTATTTTTTGGCCAGCTGCAGCCTGGCCCCAGGATTCCCAATTTTCCTCCTGTCAGCAGCCCCAGCCAGTGATTTGCCTCTCCCCAGCAGCGGGATCTGGGCTTGGGCAGCCTGGTTGTGTCTGATCTTGGGGGACTCGTCCTGGATTTGCCAGGAGGGGCTGAAGAAAGGCGCAGAGGCATCTCTGTCCCCTTTGCTGTCGATCTCTCTGATGTGCTTTATAAATGGAAATGTGTAACAACCTCCTAACTGGGCCAGTTTTGTAGGGCAGGCCCAGTGGGAGAGCAGCCCTGCTCCAGTCCCAAGCTCACAGGGTGACTGGTGGTGACTGGCAGGGGACAGGCAGCACCAGTGCAACCTCCCCAGAGCCATTTGCAGCCAGAGGATAGCAGAGGTGGCGTCTTCTCCCACCAAACCAGCCTCCTTCTGCCACGGATCACAGCTGCCCGGCTTCCACCCGGGCTGATAATTCACAGGAAGGTATCGACCAGGGTGCAAAGGTTGTTTGGAGAAGCCCTGGGCGGGTGCCTGATGCCAGACTGGGAGCAGGGACGGGGGGAGATCCCTATGGATCTGCTCCTCATGTCCATTGGCACGTGTGGTACAACCAGCTGGGCTCATTCCCTAGCTGCCTGCCAGGTAGAGCCCAGTGCCCTGCACTGAGGGTGCCCTGCGGGGTTTGCCAGCTCCTGCCAAGCTTCTCGGTGGCCGGCCAAGGACAACGCCATGGGGTCACGTCGCTCTTCTTCCTCGTGAGACCACATTCCTGGCTCCTGATCCCTATCGGTCCCCCCAGGAGCCAGGCCCTGCCTTCCAGAGAGGCACGGCAGCCACGGCGGAGGAAGAAAGTGCTGATCTCTTGCTTGGGGATAAGATTAGGGAGTCACAGTGGAGGCCCAAAGGCGCTTCAAATTCTGTAGCTCAGGCTGGTGCTGTTCCCAGGCCACCACTGGTCACCTCCGTCCCTCTCCGTCCCGCCCAGCCTGGTGACAAGCATGACCCCCCCTGACTTCCTTCCCGTGGCCTCTCCGAGCCCGGCT